GGCTCGTCAAATGCCTCAACTCAGGCGCCGCTACTCCGTGGGTCGCTTGGGCCTCGCTGCCCGAGCACCGGCACTGCTTTGGCAGCCCGGGTGCCGGTGCTGACACGCTCGTCCGCACGACGTCCCACACCGTCCGTCGTCGCCGGCCTCATCCCGGACTCCGCCGCCACCACACCTCCACCGAGCGGCGTCCCCGACCTCGCGCGCGTTCGGCTTGATCACCCGCTCGCCGCCACGATCCGACCCATCTACGTCGTGCGACCAACCTGGCCCGTCAGTTGCGCGTGCCTCCGCAGGTCCCGTGAATATTGTTCCCGAGTTCAGCGCGCCCCTCCGCCGATCGAGCAATGGGCTGCTGTTGCGTCGCCCTGTCGGGCCACAGCACTGCCGCCCCATGGTTCTCCTCACGGCTGCATCGACTCGTGCGCCGCTGCTGCGTCGTCCCTACGGGCCGTAGTGCCGCGATACACAGTCCCAGCGGCCGCCCCGAGGCCGTCCCCGTGGTTGCACCGACCCGCGCTCCGCCGCTGCACCGCCCCTTCGGGCCGTAGCGCCGCGACCCATGGTCCCCTCTGCCGCCCTGAGGTCTTCCTGCCTTCGTCGCGACCTGCCCGCCGCTGCTGTGTCACCCCTTCGGGCCGTAGCGCCGCGGCCCGTGGTCCACTCCGCCGTCACCGCGCGTCGACCTCCCGTGATATGCACCACGCCGTCTCCCTTGGCGCGGGAACGCCACCATCCGCGCCGGTCTTCGTCACGTTGTTAGGGTTTTTTTGCCTAATTCGAGCCGCGGTCCTAACCGAGCCGCCGCCTCCGCCGCTACCCTGTAGCTGCCGCAGCGGCCCTTCCACCCCCTTCGTCTTCATCCAGCACCAGCCCGCCGTCAGCCTCGCCGTCATCTACCCCGACCACCGTTGGTGACATTGGCCCCGCGCCGATGGACACCGCAATCGTCATCGAGTTCTTCTCTGCTGGCCCGCCTGACTTCTCCGACATGGCGTACAGCTCATGCAGGTCCCTCGTCTACGCATGCCTGGTGCTGGCGACACCGATGCGTGCCTTCATCCACGACTGTCCCCGGGCCTGGCAAGCCTGGTCAGTGCTTCGTCAACTTCGTCTTCGTCCGTCTACGCATGCGCGGTGCTGGCAACCCCGGTGTGTGCCTTCGTCCATAATGTGTCCCCGGGCTTGGCAAACCCGCCGCGACGCGTAGTCAACAACATCTTCTTCCCGGCGCACCACTACTTCGACACCACTGCGCCCATGCTAACTCGGCGCCCCCTTGCGCCCGCGGCTCCACGGCGACTTCCTCGACACCGGCCACCCCAACTCGAGATCGACCACGACATTCTTCGCACGGTTACCTCGACAACGGCTCCACCACCCACGCTCTCGGCTACCTCGACAACGACACAAAGGGCTACCGTCTTGTTTGAGCAACATCGTCGTTTTTCACTCCAGCCACGACTCCGCCATGCATCGACCGTTACGATTGTGGGGGTGGGGGGGGGGGGTGTCCGTCAGCTTGCCTTCGGATTCTTCTCCAGTTTCGCCGTCTGCGTCGCTACCGTTGTGACCGCGGGGGATGTTGAGTATCGTGATTATTAGGAAAGACGAGATAGATTAGGATTAGTTCTAGCTTGTCTTGTACTTCAAATAGATCATTGTACTTCTATATATATGCCCACAAGGTTCAAGCAATACAACAACACCTCTCTTCCTTCTAACAAATCTAACCATGCTTCTAGCCTAAAAATAATATCTAACCATGCTTCTCTGCCCGCGTCTCCACGTCCAAGACATGGTGGCCTTTGCCGTTGCCGGGCTCGTGCTGCTTGCCGTGGCCGTTGGTCACCGAGGTTAAGGGCAGCTCGCTGGCGACCTTGACGCTCACGTCGGATACTTGGCTGATGTCGTCCTTGATCTTGCCCCAAATGAGAAAGTAGAGGCCTACCACGATGATCACTGCACCAGTCACACTGAAAGCAAAAATGACATGATATCATTAGTATTGTCGCACTAATGTGTAGTACAATATTGTATCCTCGTCAATCTTGATATGCTAGCACACTAGTGTAGTACTTGTACCTTCCGAGAGTGATCTCCTCCTTGAGAATAATGGAGTCCATGACGGCGGTAATGATCATGCAGAGCGGGTTGAAGGCCGTCACGAACACCGGGCCCCTTTGCCTCGACACGACGCCCTGCAAGTAGTACGCCACGCCGGAGCACACTATGCCGGCGTAGACCACGGTCAAGAGGCGGTTATCGAAGCCGATAACCCAGGCCTGGGTGTTGGCGCGCTCAGCGACGAGGGCGACGGCGCCGCTCATCAGCGAGCCCATGCCGCAGATGAGCGCAGTGACGGAGAGCTCCGCCGGGTAGCTCCGCAGCGTGCTGGACTGGAGAATGAAGAAGCACGACCAGACCATGCAGGAGCCGATGAGCATCATGGTTCCTTTCAGCCAGTCTCGCGCGGCGGCGGCGGAGCCAACGGCGCCCTGGCCACCGGCAGTGGCGTGGTGCTGTCCCTTGGTCCACGGGAAGTGCATGGCGGGTCCGTGGTAAAGGATCATCAGCACGGCGCCGGTCACCGTGAGGACCGTGCCGGCGATCTTGGCCTGGCTGTGCAGGCTGCGCAGCCGCACCTTTTCCATGCGCAGGATGAGGGCCAGCACGAAGGTGACGGCCGGGAGGGTGTTGAGGAGCGCCGTTGCGAATCCCGCCGAGGTCAGCTTCGCTCCCAAGAAGTAGAGGTTCTGGTCGATCACGGGCCTGAGAGACCCATGCAACACACAGCACATCCACCTACGTGTCAGTCAGTAATCAAGAAGGAGTTCTGTGTAATCAACCGTACGGACGTACTCGAGGATTGCGAGCCCCATGATCTTGAGGAAGATGGTGGTTGTCATCTTTGGCCTCCGTCCCCTGCACATCTTATACGAGCGTTAGGGCGCAAATACACAATTAGGTAGTGTTCTGTTCTCTCATGGATCATGATCTAGGTAAATATGAATCGAAATGAACTCGTATAATTTGAAGTGTATGAGTGGATGTAACGGTGCATATGCTTCTGGTTGACATGTGGGGTCTGGTGGTTCCATGCATGGTAGGCCCTCCACCAGTGGCCAATCAGGTCACACTGCCTAGTGGAGGTCGTCCAGGTGCGTTTACACGTACGTAAACACACATACCGCACACAGACCGGTTAGCTAGCCACATACACCTGCTCATTGTGTCATTTTCTACTTATGCTAATTAATGCTCTCAGACATTCTGATTGATCCATCCATATACAAATGACGATTTAATGCCTGACCAGGAAAGCCCGGAAAGGTAGCTTTGCCGGTGCAAAATTGAATAAGGTATCAAGATGTGCACCTACACTTTAATGGATTAGGATCCATGAGTGCAGCTTGCACCATCTATATGAGACAAACATACCCCTCAACAGAAAATTCTAAATGAGACAAACATGAGAATATATGAACCGAGCAAATTGTACGTGTGTGTTGATCGATCATGGGGGTGCACGTTTGGCAAGTTGGCGTTGTTAATTTTCCTGATCTTCCTTCGATCCTTTTGTTCAGTTGTCCTTAGTTAGCTCCTTGAAAGTTTGCATAACTAAATAAAAGTGAATGCTAGAGTGGGAGCATCGGTCGGAATAGTGGCAGCTAACTGAACATCCAAGCGTGCTTCTGCAAGTTGTGATGTACTCCCTCGACTCACAAATATAAGATGTTTTGGATATTTTACTATGAACTACATACAGACTGAAATGAGTGACTAAAAACACTAAGACATGACTATATACACCTGATTTTTTTTTTTAAAAAAAGTTAGAACATCTTATATTTGTGAACGAAGGGAGTAAATTTCTGGTAACACATGAAGCGCTCATGCATGTGTTAACTAATTAATTAATGATCTATCTCTAATCATCTAACTCATGACAATATAAACAATCGGGCCCTTGCTTGGATGGTTAATGAGATCATTATTGTACTATAAGCTAATTAAGACAACTCGCATATATTTTGTTTCATATCCTGTAATATGGTTCGGTAATGGTTGCATTTGTTTTGTATTCTGCTTAATAATTAATGAAAATGGTTGTGTGCCTCGCAGTAATGTAGAGACCGAAGGTTGTAACCTCCTTTTCGATAGAGAAAAGTCCCGTATTGTGTTTTGATCCACGAGAGTGCAGCTTGCACCATCTAAATGAGACAAAAATGAGATCAAATTGTACGTATGTGTTTGCTCGATCGTGGGGGTGCACGTTTGGCAAGTTGGCCTTTTTAATTTTCCCGATCTTCCTTTACTATATTGATCCATTTGTTCTGTTGTCCTTGGCTCCTGGAAACTTTGTCTAACTAGCTAAAAGCAAAAGCCAGAGTGTATGGGAGCATCGGTCAGAATAATGCTGGCAGCTAACTGGACATCTATGCATGCTTGTGTAAGTTGCGCTGTATATTTTTGGTAAATCTTGAAGCGCTCATTTATGTTGGAACCATCTACTCTAACTAATTAATGATCTATCTCTAGTCCTGTATTTCATGGTAGCTCATGAAATATAATCAACCGAGCCCTCGCTTAGATGGTTAATGAGATGATTTAATTCTGAGTTAATTAAGATCATCACATCTCGTATTGTGTGGGGAACTGGTGACTTTGCCGTTTGACGTACTGTTGAAGTAGAGGATCGTCTGCTGAAGTGTACGTGTTGATAGGTGCATGCAAGTGTAACCGAGCATCATGCGCGATGGGTGCATGCAAGTGTAACCGAGCATGCATGTCATCACACGTACAATAGGCAACATTGATGAATGGTGTGCATGCATGCCATCCGCATGATGCGTGTGGATGCGAGCGAGCCCATGATGCAATACCTACTACACGACGATGTACGGACAAGAGAGTGGCGCCTGTGTCCGAGAGCGGCGTATGTGTGAAAGAGAGTAGTTAGTCGATGCATGGATGAAAATGGAACTAGGTAGGGTTACCTCTCGAAGTAGAGGGCGAAGGGCGCCATGACGGCGGTGGCGACGAGGTTACGGTAGACGACGAGGACGAAGTGGCTCATCCCGGCCTTGAGGGACGCCACGGCGATGATGTACATCCCGGCGAACCCCACCTGCAGCAGCACCATCGCCAGGTATGGCTTCACATCGCTCAGAACTTTCCACCCCATACCCATACTTCTATCTCTCTCCTCCGGCTAGCTACTTCTCTCTCACTCAGTAGCTGGAGCTCGATTTGACTCAGGCTAGCAATGGCTGTGAACGATGAGGCGATGAGCTCACACTGAAACCGTCTCCTTTATAGACGCTCTCCACCGACACTGTGCGGCCAACAGTACATGTAGGGTTCAGGAGCATGATGAAAAGCGTTGGCCCATCGCTGGATCCGAGTCATGGATCCGCCTGCCACAGCATGCCCTTTGCGTCCCAGTGCTAGCTTAGCTGATTGTAAATCAAGAGATTCTTCCGAAAGGACCAGAATCATACTTTCAAAGTTAGTACAAAGTTGAGTCACTTATTTTGAGACAGGGGAAGTATATCTTTGTTTTGCTAATAAAAGTTGAGCTAAATGCACTTGAGTTCCTAAAAGTTTCATCGAAGTGCCAGGTTAGTCCTAATTCTTTCAAAATGTACATTTAGGTCCTAGTTCTATGTTAAGTGGTTGACCCGAGGTCCTCTTTAGTACGAGCACTCACTTACCTACTCGTGCGGCGCATTGACCCATGCCGCGTCGACAGAGGGGGGCGCGGAGGGAGTTGTCCTGCCAAAATAGCAAACGAACTCAAAAACTGGCAAATTTTTAAACTGAGTTGTGTGTGTAAGGCTGCGGTTTTCATTCAAAACCCTTACACTTGGGGGAAGAGTGTCCGGTTTGTACACGAGGTGGATGAAGTTGTTATTGTATCAATCTTAAAGTTTTACCACACGAAGACACCATGTAAAGTTTCATCCATTTCCAAACTCTTTTGCACGTTCATAGGTTTTTGCCATTTTTAGTTGTCGGACAGTCAATTAATTAATGCCACAAAAAATAGCAAACCAACACAAAAACTGCCGAATTTTGAGCATGAGGCTTTGTATGTTGTGTACTAATCATAGAGTTTGAGGTTGAAATGATGTAGAAAAATGTACGTAGAATGTCGTGTAGAAGGGTCGATAGAATACTGTCTTAAAAGTGGTGGCCACTAGGTAGTGCGCACCACCGTTTTCCCTTTCGGATGGAGGGCGGTATCCTACGCCCGTTACTTCTACACCCACGACGCGCACAGTTCAATTTTTGCCCAAAAAACCGCTTCAATGCCCGGTGCTGGTATGGTCAGCCTTGTGGTAAATCTGCTACACGGTCGCCAACTTTGTTGGAACACAAGTAAGAACCAAGGGTTTTCCGGTTGAATTTGATGATTGGAGGAAGGTTGATCTGTCTAAAAAACTTGCTTTATGGACCGAGGCAAAGGTAATACTTGGTTGCTGCTGCTATATTGTTATTGGTTGCTGCTATGTTGCTATATTGTTATTGGTTGGTGTTGCTATATTGTTATTGGTTGCTGCTATGCTGCTATATTGTTATTGGTTGCTGCTATGCTGCTATATTGTTTAGGAGTGACTAATGAGTTAGTTTATGTTGTATTGTTCTCTAATGCTTATTTCCAAATGCCAAATTTTCAGTTGTTTTGGGAATCAGATGAATGAGTTTTCCAATGGTATATGAAAACATCACAAATTAAATGGAAATACTTCAAATCAGACCTAAAGAGGGATTATTATGATGAATCATATGAATATGATGAACTTATAGCATCATGTGATGCTAGAGTTCGTCCTGACCAATGGAAGTTGCTTGTTGCATTTTGGTTGACTCCAAAAGCTAAGATATGCTCTTTGTTAGGTTAGTATTGACCTTTGATTATACTTGTGTGACATGATTGCTTGTGTGACATGATCTTTATCAAATCATTTGGTAGGCTCGCTCAATAAGAGGTAAAAATAATCGAGCAAATCACACGCAAAATCACACATCTGGAAGTAAGAGTTTTGCTCGGGTTGACACTGAAATGGTATGCAACCATGCTATTCCTGTTCTAAACTTTGATGTTTGTACATTTTGCTCATTGTTTTAATCTTTCTTATCACTTGACATAGACCGAGGAGCTCAAGCGCCGCCCACATAGACATGAATTGTTTATTGAAACACATACACATCGAATTAGTGGTTTCTTTTCTTTTGTGCTAATCGAATTGCTATGGTAATAATCTAGAGCACTTGGTTTCTTTTCTTTTGTGCTAATCGGTCACCTATTAAGTAGTGATTGTTGTTGCAGATCAAAGATCCCAAGAAGACATCTAATGTGCCAGGAGGTGCAGGTACTATGATATACATCAAATTTACATGCCAAATAAAATTAATGTGCCTTAGTCTGTTTCTGCCCACTTATCTGTCCTATAAGACCATTGATGTATTGAATAGCTGTCAATCTCCATATTTGTGTGCACCTTGTTATCTCCAGCCCTTGGCACTTCTCCTACCTTGGAGAAATTTAACAAGTAAAAATCTGCAGCTGTTTGTCAATCTCCATATTTATGCGCACCTATTTCTGTTTATAGCTCCATATTTATCCATACAAAAAAGTATATACAACTAGCTTGACACCTAAAAGCTTGTTTAAACTCTTGGGCAACTGATTGACACCTAAAAGCTTGTTTAAACTCTTGGGCAAATAAGTGTTTAGTAATCTGAAAACTAAGCATATTAAATATGGCAACTAAATACTATATAGAGGGAGTACTTCTATTTTCTGGCAACTAATCACTTGCAATGTTTGGTGGTAGTAGTCAGTGCCAAAGAGTAGTGAGGCCAGCGTTCTAGAGTGTTCTGTTACATACTAGCTTGGGGCCATTTCACTATGTTTTCTTGTGCACTTTGCCCAAGGTGTGCTAAAATTGACTTACAACAACCAGTGCAACAAATAAAAAGTAAAAAAAAATAGTGATTTTGTACCGTGTTTCTTTGCATGTTTTTTTGCTGGGATGTTTCTTTGGACGTTTGTGTCCATTCTAATTGCTCTCCCCACTGTCATGCTCTTTTTGCATTTTTAAAGAGAAAAAAAAGAGGAAAGACATGAATGATACATGCATTCAACAGTTGACGATGCTGCTCCTACATCATTCTAGATAGATGCCGACATTTCTACCAATTTAAAACTCTCTCTCCCTGCTAGTGTGTTGTTGTACCATAGTCACATGCGCGTATAGTAGTCTGCCTAGCTTCAGTTGTACGTATGCTCTGGAGCTTTGGTCAGATTTTTGGCTCACCCACGAATCCCTGAAATTTTGGCCGTAGGATTGATAAATCCAACGACAAGTGTGAATACTAGAAGATGGCTGAATGTTCATGTACAGTTTGGTACCTTGATTGACAACTGCAAGTTTCTCTTTGTCATCCCCTTTTGAGCTTTTCAAGGGTCTCATGTATTTCACATAAAAATTATTCATGATATGTGGTTAATAAAATGGAACTATAGACTGGACGTGCATAGTGCCAGTGTACTAGTAATGATAGTAATAATAGTACAATAATGCCATATCACTATTCAGGAGTTTTGAACAACTTTTTGGTTGATTACACTTTCTTGACAATTCTTGACAAATTCGTATGCAATATTTTCAGGTACTTAGGCACCTGGCATTGGATGTGAGGAGGACTTGGAGTATCTTGGAACATACATGGGTGTGCGCAGTATTTTGGAAGCCAACTTCAATCATGTCACGAATCTGATGTGTGTTTCGAACCATTTGGTGCTTCAAGTGTTTTGGAGTAGAAACTTTGTGCTCATGGATGTGACTTGTGTGCTCTGGATTAGTGTTTGTGTGACTTGTGTGTTGTGGATGGTTAAACTATACTTCTGGTTGTGCTTGTGAACCTATGTCGATATATATGTCTATTTGTGAACCTATGTCAGTATATATCTGTTCGTGAAACTATGTCAGTATATGTATGTTTGTGAACCTATAATCATTGTTCTCCAATGTGTCCATGTTGATGTTGTTTATCAATTGCATCTCATTATATAGGTGAAATTATTGGTTTGGCTTTGCACTACTTACCAACAAGTTATCTGTTGGTAAACAAATTCTTGTAGAGCAACTGTCGGCCATGGCTACTAGCTAGCTAGGCATGAAAAGTGTCAGCAAACATACATACCTACACGAACAGACTATGTGTTGGCCAAGATATATACCTATATAGATAGCACAAGTGTCGGCAAAGGTGCAAATATATCCAAACAGAATATGTGTCGGGATAGTTATATACCTAGAAGAACAGCATATGTGTCGACAAAAGTAGGGTGTAAGTGCACACCTGAACTGTCGGCGTACCTAGGATGTATGCCCACAAACCATCTGTCGGGGTATGTAGGGTGTATGTCCACAAGAAAACTGTCGGCGTAGGTAGGGTGTATATTGTCTGAAAAAGTGTCGGCAAGTGAACTTCTGTCGGCAATGCCTTTCCCCACAGCAAGTCCTCCGACTGTTTTCTCTTTTGTCAGCATACGTGTTAGCGACATGCTATGTGTCGGCAAAGGTACCCTATGCCAATAGATTGTTGTGTCGCTGAAACTTGACCGTGGTGTAGTGAACCCCCCCCCCACCCAATCTCGCCCGACTCAGTGCCACTCCCCTCGTCACTGCTGATCCCCTTGTTGTCACCGCTCCCCTCCTTGCTCCGCGGCCCTCATCGCCGTTGAGGTGTTGGGTAGGAAACAAAAACTTTCGCCATACAATCACCATCCCAGGAACACTATAAAGATGCATACAAGCTTAGATCGGATCGTTACCAACTTCGAGTTGTAGCGGAACAAGAGTTGGTGTGGATCGAACTTGAAGTCCCTCAAACCATCCGCGACGATCCCTCGTACAAAAGGCCAAAAGCACGACCTCTACGCCTGCATGCTTGACGATCGGGCATCGCTTCACCTACAGAGCTAATCGTTGCCGGAGAATTAGAGGAGGGAGAAGAGAACCTTACGCGGCTTCTCTATTATGAGGATTAGACCGAATTAGAACTAATTATAATCAAGATCAAGTCTAAATAAAAAACTAGAACAAGAGAGAGGGGAGCGCAGATCAAGGGAGAACTTGCGTGAAGGGAGGGGCCAGGACAACTTGGAGGAGGAAACCC